GTCAAGGGGATTTTATTTTTGGTCCTCTCTATTTGGTGTTCTGTAAGCTTTTTGCACCTTCATTGGCATGTCTTTCTTTAGGTTGAGAAAGTTTTCTTCTATTATTTTTTGAATATGTTTTCTGGCCCTTTGAGGTGGGTTTCTTCACCTTCTTCTATACCTATTATTCTTAATTTTGATCTTTTCATGGTGTCCTATATTTCCTGGATATTTTGTGTTAGAGATTTGTTAGACTTAAATTTTTCTCTGGTCTATGAATCTAATTCTCCTAGTGTATCTTCAACACCTGAGATTCTCTCTTCCATCTCTTGTATTCTATTGGTTTGAAAGACCCCAAGCGGGGGACTTTCGCGGGAGGGAGACCCGAACCCAAGGAGCAATGAGACCACAAGCTTGGATGCAACAGCAAGAGGCTTTATTGATAATACATGGGTACCCGGGGCATCTCAGTCTCGGGAACTGAGAGCCCCGAGCTGGGGACTCAGGGGTCCTTTTATAGCAAAAAGCGCAGTACAGAAGCGAGAAGCCTAGTTACGGGACCCTGATTGGGCTATGTAAATAAGGCCGGGGCTCAGAACGAGGGCAATTGAGGTTTCTCTCAGAACTCAAGTCTCGGCCTTGGCCCTATCTGAGGAACAATAGGTCTCTGTGCTTGCCCAATCTTGCTGGGCTGGCCATCTGGTCACAGAAGACATCCAAAGCCCATGTCCTTGGGCAGAGCTCCCTTCTGATAAAAAAATGACTATTCGGCTGAGCTGTGGGGGAAAGGAATTTTCCATAGGCCTCAGCCGCCTGTGCTGGGCCGGGGTCTTTCATTCCCCCATTGCTCTTGTAACTGAATGAAATCTTTCATTCAGAGGTTTCTGCCATCTCGAAATCCCTTTGCTTTAGCTGCTGGTATTGTTGAGTCAAAACCAGTGATTGTACAACTGATAACCTTTCCTTTATGAACTGGGTCAATCTGTTTAAGATGCATGGCCCAAACATCAGAATCAAAAGTATAATGATCAGGGGTCCCAATTTTCCCCCACCAGATCACATAGATCCAAATACAGGGTGGGGAAGGTGTCTGTCAGAGCCCCAAGTTGGGAACTCAGGCTTGCAGTCTGTCCCGTCCCCAGATTGGTTATCACCTAAGTAATATTGAATACTTGGTGAGGACTTTCCTCAATAAGGGGAAAGGTAAGCATGAAGCATAAGAAGGCAATCAAACAACTCGGGAGAGTCTTATCTTTAGAGGATTTTGAGTGCGCTGAGCCCTGCATCCTGGGTCCGGATCCTCAGGGGAGGCAGCTTTCACAAGCGAGATGTGTATCCAAGCAGCAATCCCATCCACCTTGAGAGCAGTAGGGGTGGTCAACAGGACCGTGTATGGTCCCTTCCAGCGGGGTTCAAGGTTCTTAGCCTGGTGGCGCCGGACCCAAACGCTGTCTCCCACGTAATAGGAGTGAGGGACGATAGGGTGTCTCCTCTGGTCTCGGTAGGCTTGGGCCAGGGGCTTCCAGACTTCCTGCTGAACCAGCTGGAGTGCCTGCAGGTGAGCTTGAAGAGAGGAGGAATTGGCATAGTCAGAAATATCTTGGTCAAAGAACTGAACAAAGGGAACGGTGGTTCCATACAGAATTTCAAAAGGGGTGAGGCCATGGGGGCCCGGTGTATTCCGGGCACGATAGAGGGCAAGGGGGAGCAAGAGGACCCAGTCTTTAGTGCCAGCTGCCAGCGATAATTTAGTTATAGTCTCCTTAATGGTTCTATTCATTCGCTCTACCTGCCCTGAACTTTGGGGTCGATAAGCACAATGTAATTTCCAATCAATCCCCAACAAGGTGGCCACAGACTGACTTACCTGAGAAACAAAGGCAGGCCCGTTGTCTGTCCCCAATACCTGTGGCATTCCGTAACGGGGGAAGATTTCTTCAAGAAGTTTCTTGGTGACCACCTTTGCCGTCTCGTGCTTGGTGGGGTAGGCTTCAGTCCATCCCGAGAAGGTGTCAACAAAAACCAGGAGGTACTTGTATCCATATTTTCCTGGTTTAATTTCTGTGAAATCTATTTCCCAATGCACCCCAGGCCGGTGCCCACGAGCTCGAGTCCCCATGGGTAGCTTTAGCCTGGTCATATTGACGCGGGCGCAGGCATCACATTGCTCAGTCACTTGTTTTATTATTTCTTCTATTCCCAACAGGTGGCGAGTATTTTCTTCCCGGGCTAATAGTTCTCGCATTTTCCTGGAGCTCAAATGAGTGAGTTTGTGTAGGCTGTTAACCAGATATCTAGTCATTAGGCGGGGAAGGACAGTTTTTCCTTGATAGGTCCAGAGACCATCATGTACTCGGGTCGCCCCCAGTCTTTTCATGGCTTTGATGTCTTTTATCTCATAGTCCCATGACGGGGAGGTCTTCTCGGAAGCCTCATTAGTTACAGGGACTACAACTGCCTGGAGGAGGTGGCTGCTACTTTCCATGGCCAGGGCAGCCTCCCGGGCAGCCAGGTCTGCCCTCCGGTTTCCCCGGGCGACTGGGCTGTCGCCTTTCTGGTGCTCTGGGTAATGTATGATACTGAGGGCGGTTGGCAGGTGCAGAGCCTCTAAGAGGGCCAGGATTTCCTTTTTATTTTTAATGTCTCTGCCCTCTGAGGTCAATAGCCCCCTTCGCCTATAAATTTCACCATGGATGTGAGCGGTGGCAACAGCATAGCGGCTGTCTGTATAGACAGTGAGTTTCTTACCTTCTGCCAGTCTCAGGGCCTGTGTTAAGGCAATCAGTTCTGCTCGTTGGGCCCATGTTCCTGGCGGCAGGGCCTCGGCCCAAATTGTTTCTGACTCAGTTGTCACTGCAGCACCGGCTTTCCGCTCCCCTTGATGTACAAAGCTGCTTCCGTCCGTGAACCAGACAAGGTCAGGGTTGGGAAGGGGTTGATCCGTGAGGTCAGCTCTCATCCCATGGACCTCAGCCAGGACCTGCAAGCAGTCATGAGTCTCTGCTTCCCCGGGGAGGGGAAGTAGCGAGGCGGGGTTCAGGGTCACCGGAGCCCCGAAGTGAATTCGGTCCTTGTCCAGCAACAGAGTCTGGTAATGAGTCATCCTGGCATTGGTGAGCCAGTGGCCTGGTGGCTGTCTGATGACCGCCTCCATAGCATGGGGGGGCATAGATAGTCAAAGGCTGCCCCAAAGTCAATTTGTGAGAGTCCTTTATGAGAACTGTGGTGGCGGCGATCATGCGGAGACATGGGGGCCATCCTGACGCTACGGGGTCTAATCTCTTAGATAAGTAGGCAACCGGTCGTCTCCAGGGCCCAAGTTTTTGAGTTAGGACCCCCTTCGCATAACCCTCTTGCTCAGCCATGAATAAGTCAAAGGGTTTAGTCAGGTCAAGTAACCCCAGAGCTGGGGAGCAGAGCAGAGCCTTCTTGATGTCCATGAAGGCTTTTTCCTGACTCTCCCCCCAGTCAAAAGCAGCCCCCGTCTTGGTGAGGGGGTACAGGGGTGCTGCCATTTCCGCAAACCCGGGGATCCACAGTCTACAGAAACCTGCCGTTCCCAAGAATTCCCGCAGTTTTCGGGGGGGTCTTGGGAGGAGGGATATCAAGTATGGCCTGTTTGCGGGCTTCTGTTAGCCAACGTTTTCCATCCTGGATTTTGTACCCCAAGTAGGTGACCTGGGTCCGGCAGATTTGGGCCTTCTTGGCAGAGGCCCTGTACCCCAAGTCTCCTAAAGTCTTTAAGAGAGCTTCTGTCCCCCTAAGGCATTCCTCCTCTGTTTTGGTGGCTATCAGGATGTCATCCACATATTGTAAGAGGATGACCTCAGGGTTGTGGACTCTAAATCCAGCCAAATCCTGATGCAAGGCCTCATCAAAGAGGGTGGGGCTATTTTTGAACCCTTGGGGCAACCTAGTCCATGTAAGTTGTCCCGAGATTCCCAGGTCTGCATCCTGCCATTCAAAGGCAAACAGTGGCTGACTGTCTTTGTGTAACCGCAGGCAGAAGAAGGCATCCTTTAAATCCAGGACTGAGTACCAAGCATAGTCAGGTGGCAGTCCACTCAGGAGGTTATAGGGATTGGGGACCGTGGGGTGTATGTCCTCAACCCGCTTATTGACTTCCCGGAGGTCCTGGACCGGCCTATAGTCATTGGTTCCGGGCTTTTTGACTGGCAACAGGGGAGTGTTCCAGGGGGACCGGCAGGGGGTTAGAATGCCCTGCTCCAGTAGCCTCCTAATGTGAGGTTTGATCCCATCGCGGGCCTCCCGGGACATAGGATATTGTTTAATTGAGGCCGGGAGAGCAGATGCCTTTAAGTGGACTATGATGGGAGCCTGCTGGAGGGCTAGTCCCATGCCTCCGGTCTCTGCCCAGGACTGGGGAAAGTCGGTCAGCCAGTGGTCCTCGACCTTAAAAGAATCATCCTTGGGCTCATGTATTCTATATTCCTCTTCTAAGGCTATGGTCAGCACCGTGAGTGGGGCCCCTTCTGGCCCCGTGACTCTTATGTTGGCTTTCTCGAAATGTACTTGAGCCTTTAACTTCGTTAGGAGGTCTCGACCCAGGAGGGGGTATGGACAGTCAGGAACATGTAAAAAGGAGTGCATCACCTTACCGGTCGCTAGGTGGAGCTGGCGGTCCGTGGTCCATCGATACTGCTTCCCGCCGATGGCCCCCTTTGTCCCTCTCTCTACCTATCTTGTCTCTGCTCTGCGACTACTGTGGCCAACAGTTTAGTCATTTCTCTGTTACGCCTCTTGTCCCTCTCTCTACCTCTCTCTAATTTCCTGTCTCTGACATTCTGTCTCCATCTTTTCTCTCTCTCTTTTTTATTAAAAATGCGTTCTGCCTCCCTCAATACATCTGGTAGTGTATACCCCTGTCATATGGGGTATACATTCTGTAAGCTTCCTTAAGCCTTTCTAAAAAAATGCGGCTGGCGATTCCTCTGCCTTCTGAACTCTCTGTCTTACCTGGGCCAGATTTGTAGATTGCTTACCCGTCTCTCGGAGACTCGCTACAAGCAACTGGCAATAAAGACGGGGCGGTCAAGGGGAGAAAGCAGCAGCATCAATTTCATTTGGAAGCTGCATAGGTTGTCCATTTGCCCCAGGAACAATTTTACCGGGCTTCAAGAAGGATCCGCTGTAGTGAGAACCGATTCTAATAGATCAGTCAGTCTCACGGGGTCTGCTGAAAAGGAGGGGTTATTATTTTTCCAGTTATAAAGATCTGAGGCAGAGAACGGCCAGTACTGCAACTGGCCATCGGGGCCCCGTACGGGGAGGCAGGGCGGTTGACCGGAGCAGGCTGAGGCTGCGGCGCCGCCCGGAAGAGCCGGAGCAGCCGCCGGGGAGCGGGGCGAGGGCGTGGCGGCCGCTCTCTGTCCGTACCCAGTCCACCTCGGGCCGCAGCGGTGAGAGCGCCGAATCCTAACCACTAGACCACCAGGGAGGCAGACGAAGCTCCCCCTCGCATTGCCGCCGGTCGCGCCGTCATACTCAGGGCGCCCTTCCCGCAGCGGCCGGGACGCTGAACGCGAACCGGAAATGAGCCTCAGCCTGAGCGGTGCCTGCAGCTGCGGCAGCGGTGATGGGGGTTAGGGAAGAGGAGGGGGAGGGAGGGTCATAGACCAGCACTTCCCAGGTAACTACATAGGGTACTTGGTCCGGGTGGCCCTGGGGTCCAGAATCCATGACTTTCTCCTTCACCTGGAAGATAATTTGAGAGTTAAAGGTGCCACCTCGTGGCCAGCCAACATCCAAAGCTGGCCATTCAGAAGAGCAAAAGGTGATCCATTGCTTCTTGCGCGCATCGACAGACCGGTTGTGAGCGTATTTCTGGACCTGTTGCCAATGTGAAAGGGTCAGGCTAGGCGGAGTGGTAACTGTCTGGCCCATTTTCTCGAGAGCGATGACAAACGACACTAAGACGGACGAACAGATAAGAAACAAAAACAAACAGATTTTCGCTGCGCGGCTTTGACGAAAGTCAAAAGCAAATTCAGATCGGGGACGGGGGCCTTGTGCTCCCGTCCTCGTCCCCTACCAGGATGGAAAATCCCTCGGCCAGTGGGACTTCCCCAAACAGACGGGGCAGATTCCTAGGCATCTACCCCTAACCCAAATGAGTCCCTAAGAACTCCAAACGGGGCAGATTGACATCTACCCCAAACAAATGAGTACTCCAAATACAAACGGGGCAGATTGACATCCACCCCAAACAAATGAGTACTCCAAACGCTACCAGGACGTCTCCTGGAGCTGTGGTCGGGAGTACGAACCCGTCAGTTCCTCCTCGGTGGCCGCCAAATACAAATGTATACAGCTGTATACTACAAACGCAGGCACGAGAGAATAACAGGCATAGACAGACAGCAGACAACAGAAACAACAGAAATTTAGTCCGGACAATTCTTACCTCCCAGAAGTGGGTCGATGGTCCCTGGGCGGGGTCTCAGTTTCCCGGCCAACGCACCAAATGAAAGACCCCAAGCGGGGGACTTTCACGGGAGGGAGACCCGAACCCAAGGAGCAACGAGACCACAAGCTTGGATGCAACAGCAAGAGGCTTTATTGATAATACACGGGTACCCGGGGCATCTCAGTCTCGGGAACTGAGAGCCCCGAGCTGGGGACTCAGGGGTCCTTTTATAGCAAAAAGCGCAGTACAGAAGCGAGAAGCCTAGTTACGGGACCCTGATTGGGCTATGTAAATAAGGCCGGGGCTCAGAACGAGGGCAATTGAGGTTTCTCTCAGAACTCAAGTCTCGGCCTTGGCCCTATCTGAGGAACAATAGGTCTCTGTGCTTGCCCAATCTTGCTGGGCTGGCCATCTGGTCACAGAAGACATCCAAAGCCCATGTCCTTGGGCAGAGCTCCCTTCTGATAAAAAAATGACTATTCGGCTGAGCTGTGGGGGAAAGGAATTTTCCATAGGCCTCAGCCGCCTGTGCTGGGCCGGGGTCTTTCAGGTTATGCTTGCATCTGTAGTACCTGACCATTTTCCCAGCTTTTCTATTTCCAGCATTCCTTCAGACTGTGTTTTTTTAATTGTTTCTATTTCAGATTTGAGCACTTGCACTGTTTGAATTGTTTCTTGCACTTTTTGGTTTGTCTTTTCTTCCATTTTTTGAATTGTTTTTTCTTCCATCTCTTTAAGGGATTTTCTCATATCCTCTTTGAGGGCCTCTATCATTTTTATGAAGTTGTTTTTATGCCAGTCTCTTCTGGTTTATTTGTGTTGGGGTGTTCCAGCCTTCGTGCTTTTGGGTCTCAGTATTCTGGTGGTGTCCTTTTTCTGATGCTCCTGAACATCTTTGAACACAATCCCCTGAACAGCACTGCAGAAGGATGGACAGAGGAAAAGGCCAAGAAGAATGGATTTGAATGACAGTGAGACTCCAAAGGGTTTTACTCCAGACAGGGAGTTCTGGGGATTGAATTCACTGTTTATGCACCTGCAAAGACACAGGATTCTCCTGACCTTGAACCTAAGACCCATCTGAAGAGGACACTGACAGTAAGTGCACCCTCAGTATACTGCTCCAGGCTCTCAGGTTCTGAGTATTCTTTCTGGGTACCACATCGGAAAAACACTCATCAGTTACATTTACAAGTTAACTATTGCCTGGCTCAAATTATAATTTAGAAGCACACAATTGTAGTTCTATCTCCACAGACAACTGTGGCTCATTCCATAGTTCTCCATATCAAACTCAGTGCTTGTGGTCAGAACTTATTCCATACCATGTTGGTTCCAAAACATTGAATACCTTGTGAAGCCTTGTGCTCTGTGTCCTATTAATAGGAGACCACTCCCTAGGATGTCTGGACCTGTAAAGCTTTGAGACTGACTAGGTCAGTGTGATGGACAGAGGAAAATACCACAGACACAGGTGGACAAATTATGGAATGGAGTAGGATTGTGCTCTGAAGGAGACACACCAGCAACCCAGTACACTTATTGAATGCAATCAATAGCAGGGTACAGATACACACTGTAGGGGATCTCTGTGGGAAACAGATGAGAGTTTGCTAAACAAGCACAGAGACATTGCTGTGATCCCCAGAATTCCCTGTGGAAAAAGAAACTGAACCTTGAAAATTGTCCTGATAAACAGTGGGTTCAAAACCAGTCTGGGCCGGGCAGTGCTGGCGCACACCTTCAATCCCAGCACTCAGGAGGCAGAGGCAGGAAGATCTCTGTGAGTTCGAGGCCGGGCTGGACCGACAGCCTCCAAAATAATACAGAGAAACCCTGTCTCGTAAAACAAACAAACAAAAAAAAAACAGTCTGAACTGTATAGTGAGACCAGGTCTGAGAGAGAGAGAGAGACAGAGACAGACAGACAGACAGACAGACAGAGAGAGAGAGATACAGAGAGAGACAGAGACAGAGATAGAAAGATACAGAGAGACAGACAGAGAGACAGAGACAGGGACAGAGAGACTGAGAGACACACAGAGAGAGAGACAGACAGAGACAGATAGACAGAGGCACAGACAGAGGCACAGACAGAGAGAAGCATCTTCTGCCATCCACATTGTCACAATGTCACAGAAGGACCTACATCCAGACTCACATGCATGCCCTCAAAACATGCTGTGAAGCTTTAGTATCTTGAGTAAGGTGAGATGACAAAGATTGGGAGGAGCTTTCTGAAGTGGATGCTCACATTTGTCAAGAGTAGGGATGGAACCCTGTATTCCAAAGGAACTGAAAACTTCTTCCACATAGAAATAGTGGTGTGATCAATGTATTCCTTCATACATGGTAAGTATTAACCATTGAGTTGGAACCACAGTCCTTAACCACAAACATACAAAATCTTCTACCTTTAGCCTCTGCTCTGGAGGTCACACATGGGCATCATCAGTACATCTGCCATATGGTATTCAGGCTTTCATGGGTTAAATCCAATGGGTTTATCAGTCTCTAGAAGACCTTCATATTTAATTCTATGCATTTATTTATTTATTTTTGGTTTTTTCGAGACAGGGTTTCTCTGTGGCTTTGGAGGCTGTCCTGGAACTCACTCTGTAGACCAGGCTGGTCTCGAACTCACAGAGATCGGCCTGCCTCTGCCTCCCGAGTGCTGGGATTAAAGGCGTGCGCCACCAACGCCCGGCTTATTTATATTTTTAATACTTTAATTTTAATTATCATTCATTATGTATATTAAATGGCATGTGTGTGGTACATGTGTAGATGGAGATGACTGTGAGTGCTCCCAGAGACCAGAAATAAACTTCAGACCACCTGAAACAGTTCAAAGTGTTTCTGCCTGCTGAAATCAAACACTGGTTCCCAGAAAACTCAACAAGCACCCTTAAACTCTGAGCCATCTCTCCAAGAGATTCTCTCTAGCTTTCTGACTGGGGATACAAGAAATTGAGGTGTAGAAAATTTCCAAGAATTTACTCAGAATGGCTGAGATCAAAAACACCAATCACAGTTTATGCTGTAGAGGATGTAGAGAAAGGGGAACACTTGTCCATTGCTGGTGGGATTGCAAACTTGTACAGCCACTTTGGAAATCAGTATGGAGATTCCTCAGGAAAAAGTGAATCAGTCTACCACAAGACACAGCAATTCCACTCTTAAGCATATATCCAAAAGATGCCCTTTCACAAAACAGGAATGTCTATTCCACTATTTTCATAGCAGCATTATATGCAATAGCTAGATCCTGGAAGCAACCTAGATGCCCCACAACTGAAGAGTGGATAGAGAAAATGTGGTACATTTACACAGTGGAGTACTCATCAGCAGAAGAAAAATGGAATCTTGAAATTTGCATGCAAATGGATGGCTCTAGAAGAGACCATCCTGAGTGATGTAACCCAGTCACAAAAAGACAAACATGGTATGTTCTCATTCATATATGGATTTTGATATGGATCAGAGGAGTGTCAGCCTACAGTCCCAGTGCCAGTGAGTCTGGGAAACAGGGAGGTTACCAAGAGAGATGCATGATACCCCAGAGAAGTGTAATGAGCCAAGATCTCCTGAGAAGATTGGGAACATAGAGGAAGGGGAGAGGGAAGGAGGTAAAAGAGAGAGGAATAAGAGGGGAGAAGAAGGCATGGGGGAGCAGGAAGGTTGAGTTGAGGTAAGAATAGAGGAGAGCAGGATGAGAGACACCATAATAGATGGAGTCATTATAGGCTTGAGTAGACAGCTGACACTAGTGAGATCTCCAGGGATCTCCAAGAAAACACCATCTGGCAAACTAAGCAATATTAGAAAGACTACATTAATTGCCCCTCCTAGATAAGGTTGATGACTACCTTATACGCCATCCTAGAACCCTTCATCCAGTGACTATGGAAGCAAAGATAGATATTCACAGCTAAACACTGAAGCAAACTCCTGGAACCCAGTGATAGACATTGAGGAGTTATGAGCAAAGGAGTCAAGACCATGATGGTGAAGCCCACAAAGACAGCTGACTGGATAATGAGGAGCTCTTGAACCCCAGGATGATGGCTGAGAGGCCAACAGAGGCCTGATCCAGACCCTCTGAATGTAGTGACAATGAGGAGGCCTCAGAAATCTCTGGAACCTTGTGTAGTAGATCAGTGTTTACCATGGCGTATGAATGGACGTTGGGAGCCCATTCCACAGGGAGGGATGCTCTCCCAGCCTGGACACATCGGGAAGGGCCTAGATACTGCCCTGGACGAAATGACAGACTCTGGATATCCTACCAAGGAGGGCCTCACCCTCCATGGGGAACGATGTGGGGATTGTGTAGGGACCCGGGGAGGGGCTGGTGAATCGATAAGGGAGGAGGGATGGGAGAGGGAACTGGGATTGACATGTGAAACATGCATGTTTCTAATTTAAATAAAAACATGTATTGAGAGAAAAAGGAAAAGTGTTTTATTGAACTTATTTGAAACCGTAATGGTAAGGATGGTGGGGGAAATAATATCATGCTTACATCCCTCTTGAAATCATAGAGAGATCAAGCTGAATACTGTGAGTGTTATATGCTCAACACAAGTTCATCAGCTGACATTATTGTGCAAAAAAGTAATATATGTGCATGTATTACAAATCTTTAAGTTAGGTGGAAAAGGAAAATGCAGAGGCCAAAAAAATATAGAGAGATGGAACACACCTAATCCAGGCAATATGGTCTTTGTCCTATCCTCTGTCTTTATTCCATTCCCTGTGTCTATGGTCTCTCACAACCTGATCGTGCTGGAAGACAATCCCTACCATTCTCAAATCTCTCTTCTTATCTGAGTTTGGGAATGCACTGTTGGCCCACAGCAGATTTGTGTACCATTATTCTCCATGTCAAAGTTTCTCTCTCTCTTGTCTGAATCAATGAAATTATATTTTCAAATAAATCCAAAATCCCTTAAAAGACATGCTCTGTGTCTCTAATGAGTCACTTGATTCCTGGCTTTCATTTTCATAGCTCAGCAGTGGTCTGTCATCATTTATTCCCAACATGAACATAGGGAGACATCCTGTTCATAGACACAGAATTCCCGGCAACGTCGACATCTGTTACTGAAAAAATAGACCTTATTTGGCTCTCTTATACCTCTGAGTGTTTCCAAGAGCCCAGAACAATGTTGGGCAAATCTTTGTGGCAGAACATCAACATTGTCATCATAGACTTCAACAGGGGCAGGGTACATCTCCAGAGTCAGTTTTTTAAGGTTAGCAGTGTGCTGCAGCAGCTTCTTAAGACTGGATATAATCAGTAAGTTCCTCACAAAATTCACCTCAACCAGCTGGGAACACTGGCTCAGGGCAGGGAGGAAGTCACCGAGTTGGTAGTCCGTGAGCATACAACCCTTCAGTTTTAAAGTCCGCAATGTAGCTGTCAGTTTCTTTAGCAGTCTTCCTAGAAGTGCTTGACTTAAATCTGAAAAGGTGACACTACTAATTTCCAGATATGTGAGTTGAAGGACGCTTGGACACTGTGACAGATACCTCATGTCTGATTCTGATAGCGTGCAGTTTGTGATTGCAAGGGTCTGTAAGGGACTCTCCAAGTACCTGCAGAAAGGGAAAGGAGTTTATCTCATTAAGTCTAATAGTGGCTGAGAAAGGGGAGGACTTCAACACAGCAGGGGTTAGTTATTCCTAAGGTCATTCTGGGAGCATCCTGAAGTCCAAGCCAAGGATCTCCCTGATGGAGAATTACCAACGCATGCACCATTATTTTGACTGTTTCTGTCCCAATTTAGGTCCCTCTGCACTGTCCAGAACAAAACCTCATGGGATGGCAAATGGTATCAGAAGGAAACCTAGATGGACACCTAGCAGGAACATAGTGCGATACCTGTGTGTGCCAGCATTGGTCTCCATGATCCCCACCTTCTTAGCATAGACACTGTCCTGCTTGCAGGGCTTCCCTTTGGCCCTAATCACTACCAGTCATTTTCGTTTGACTAAGGCTATACCTGAGCTCAAAGAGCACCTGTCGCTTTGGGAAACAGAGACAGATGTAAACTGGGCACAAACTTCTGAGGACAGGGCTGACATGGGGCAACATGTGATTTAAAACCTCATCCCCTCTGCAGATCTGTTTTCCCCTCATCTGGGTCCCTAGCAAAGACCTTATCTAGATCATGGATACCAAAGGAACAGAAAGGCTACTAGATCAATCATCCTCAGGTCACATCAGTGCATACTTAGGGGTAACTGAGAAGCCCCAGGTGTTCACTGGTGTTTTACATAACAAGGAAAAGCTCCTCCCGGCCCTGCTGAGCAAGCTCTCCATCTTCCTCACCTGAGCACTTGGTCCAGTCTTTTATTCAGGAAGAAGAAACCATTCAAATAGAGATGCTGGAGCTTGTTGAGTTGGAAGAACTGTGAAATGATCTCTCTAAAACTCCATTCTCTCATCTCTCTGTTAGTAATCCATTCTACAGGAGTGAAGATTTCATTGACAAGGAGTTTCTGAAGGTTTCTCATCTGACCCAGGCCAGGGGCAAACATCGCAAGGGTTTTCAGGTCCCAGCGTGCATTCACTTCCAACTCCTGTATAGAGCTTGGCTCAAATACCTCCAGCAGCTTTAGGGGCTTATAGACAGGGAGGGCCCCAAACTCCAGCTTTTCACAGATAACCTGCAGCACATCTTTCCTCTGCTTAGCCCACCAGTGGAAATATTTTAGGGATTTACAGAGATACCTGGACTTGAGGGAAAGGTTCATCATCACAGTCACAGCCTGTTTTCCATGTTGTGTGTGTAGACTCACCACTGGTTGACTCTCACTAACGACATCTGGAGAGCACCCCCCATGCTCTGATCCAGCCCACACACTCCAGAAGTTATGCTGTGCATCCCGAAGATCTAGCACTTCTAGTTTGCAACTCCTGTTGGTCAAACGAGAGTGAATCAAATGCAAGAAATACCAATGTACTCTCTGCCTAAACCACACACATCAACTTCCCTTAAATCCATTCTTTAAACCAACCCTCTTAACAATTCTAGTGGCTGGGGAAAGAATAGCAGAGATACAGTCACTGTATGTGTCTGTGTCTATTAGCAGTGTTCTTCACATGTCATTTTTCATTTATGCACTTCTCTAAGAAAGCTCTGATTCAACTTGGACCACATTCTGAATTCTGTAGTCACCACTCACTACCCACACTCTTCCCTCCATGCTACCATTTTCTCACTTACCTCGGTCGATCCTTCTGCTTAATCAGCAGGTCAAGGCCATCCAGCACAGCCTTCAAAATCTCCAGTTCAGGAGTCTTCATCAGCGCTCCCACAGGAAGGCATCTGAAGGGCCAGGCTGCCACCATGGCCCTCAGGATATTTGTTTGTTTGCCATCGAAGGCCCCTTGAAATAGGGGTGGGAAGAGTTCCATGGGCAGGGTCTTCAGAGCCGAGATAGCCAAGGCTTCATCTTTCAGCAGACTTCTTATTGCCAACAGCTTGAGCGAGGATGGGGAGTTCATCCTGGCCTTAATATACACAGGCACTATAGAAAGATCCAGAGAATAAATCCTTTCTGTTATTCTGCCAATCCCATCCACTGCTCCCCTGAATCCTACTGACATAGACAATGAGAAAGTGGAGAATCAAATGAGAGACAGACTCTTTTGTTGGCAACCATCTTCAAATGTTTCTCATGATCCTCAAGAGCAAAGTTAAAGATCCCAAAGCCAATTGTGCTTGGCATTCAATCAAAGGTACTTGTTGGGAGAATACATGAAATGGATGGAGTCAGTATTATTTGTAAAACTTTAGAACCTGGAGTCAAGTGAGCCACAGACCCCTTTAGGAGTTTGATTACTGGGAGTTGTCTTCTTGATGCTTTCCTGAGATTCATGACCAACTGGTGTTCTGTGGAACTTCCTTCATCTGCAGTTAATAAGTCCATAGTCACTTTGAGTTGTTGGTCAGTGTTTGCTCAATGTGCCTTAGCTTGAGTATAGCAACCTCAACATTCAGTTAAAGGGCACAGAAGTTTAGCTCCAGGTTTCAGAACTCATAACAATAAGCTACATATGGAATTCTAGACTAGACTGGGATAAATGGAATTTTCAGCTTCAAAAGACCCACACCAAAGAAAACAACAAAATCAGGAATTATAAGATGAACTGAGAGACTGGTGACCCTGGGTATGATTGTGTGATGTGATGGGGATGAATGGCTTACCTGATCAGGACACACATAACAGGTGTTCAAATCCCAGCACATCCTGGTAGTTATTTTAGGATCCAACCACCAGTGCCTAAGTGACCCTGTTAACCCTTATATCCCTCTTTCCTGTCAAAACTTCCCTTCATAGTCTCACCTCTGAGGCAAAAGCTGCCATCTCATAGGATAACTGAGCATCTCCCAATCTAGTCCTACTTGGACTTTTACATCCATCTTTTGAGTGAATCAGATGTGGGAAAGCAGGAAAGCCCAGATGGTAGTCAAGTGCCCAAAGCCTCTATAACACTTCACAGCAATAGGATGTACTGTATTCCGTACAATGATATATTTTCAATTTTCATATAAATTCTCTCTATGTAACTCAAGCATACCTGAACTCATTATGCAACCTTAGCTGACCTGGAAGTCTCAGTAATCCTTCTGCCTGATTGTAGTGGTATGAAGTGTGTGTGACACCATTTTGACTTCATCTCAAATCAGGTAACAGAAAGAACTGAGACTACACTGACAGCAAAAACCCATTCCCCAAGTGACCTCAAAACACTAAGGATTTGTCTATGTATTGTTAATTAATTCATTAATTAATTAATGAATTAGATTGTTTGTATCTGCTTTACCTTTTATGGAATCCTTGCCTAGAAGTATAGAATCTACAGCCGGGTTACAGTAACCTTCCTATTTTTGTGGAAGAGGATATAAATAGGGCATGTTCAGGTCAATTGGATCTACTTTTGGGAAAGGGACCGAACTGAGATTCTGGTAAAGATTAGGTTGTCTTTGGTATTGATTTTTGAGGCAGTATTTCTCTGTGTAACAGCCCCACACTCCTGGAACTTGCTCTGCAGACCAGGCTGAAGTATACTCACAGAAATCTGCCTGCCTCAATCTTCTGAGTGCCTGGATTAATGGTATGTGTAGCATGATACGTAACAGACCCAGAGACAGATATTGGGGTTCAAGCTTAAGCTGAAGATCAGAGAAGCAAAGCAGACAAGCCACTAACACTTGCCTTTACCTCAGGCTGAAATGGCTGATCCTGTCTCCATGAGCTCTCACCAAGTTTCACGATGTCACTGGAAAATAATACAAAGACTGATTACTGGAAACCCTGCTTCTGCCATTTATGCCTCTCTAGTGTTGGGATTAGAGGCGTGGACTCTGTTACTCTGTCCTGGGATTAAAGGTGTGGCTCACCTAGTATGTTTGCTTTGCTATTTTGATCTGTAGTAGTTTAATAAATCATGAACAATATTTAACCACAGGTGTCTGCCACCACCATCTGGCTAAATTATGATTTGTTTTCTTTCTTTTTTGTTGGTATTTCTTTTAAGATAGGGTGTTTTTTGTATGTAACTTTGGAGCCTATCCTGACCTTGAATTCTCTGAGATCCCCCTGCCGTTTTCTCTCAAATGCTGGTATTAAAGGCATGCATTTCTACCACCCAGCTAAATTAGCTCTTCCTATATGTTTGTGTGCTATGCTGTGTACAGGATGATCTGTGGCCTCACTTGTGCTCCAGAACATAGTCAGCTTTGCCTAGATCTGGGAACAACCATTTCTGATGGCCCGGAATGGCCATTACTCAGCATTATGATAAAGAAGGAACATAGTCAACACCTGTGTGGAATTCAAAGGGAGCTCAAGGTCAGTATCAGTGATTTAGGAGAGATTGTGTTCCATGGGAAATCACCAAATGATCTGTGAGCCATGCATGGAGTCACTGGCCAGGAATGTACATAGAGCAGATCACATCTTTCGATACTGGAAATGCAATGCCCTGAGAGAGGGTTGAAGGCAAATGTCTGTAATCCGGAGCTCTGGGATAAAAGGCAAGAACCACCACACTGGACTTCCTTTGAGTATTTCTGAGACTTATCTATAATGGACAAGGCTGCTCTACAACTCCAGATCTTTCTGGTACTGTACAGATTCTTAGGCCCATTTTAGAATTCAGGAAAGAATCTGCTCTGTAATTGATATCATTAAAAATCCCTTCAATAAAGCTTCACTGTTTGCTGGGCGTTGGTGGCGCACACCTTTAATCCCAGCACTCGGGAGGCAGAGGCAGGCGGATCTCTGTGAGTTCGAGGCCAGGCTGGACCGACAGCCTCCAAAACAGAGAAACCCTGTCTCGTAAAAAAAAAAAAAAAAAAAAAAAAAGAAAAAGCTTCACTGTTTAATGTTTTGTTATTATTTGAATTATAATTTCCCTCAACTATAGTTTACAAGTTGTTCTGGGATACTACTTGTTTTCTGATAACCAAACCCATGACTAGCTGAACTGAGCACTATTCTTTAGGAATGTGGTTGCTTTGGCCTTGACTATTTGACTTTATATTTTCAGAGAATGACAACTAAAAAATGAAAGATCCACGAAGCACATAAGACACACCTGGGAAATAGAATTAAGGTCATGAGTATAGAAAATCACAGATCCAGGATTGACAGACAATCCAGCCTTGACAGACATTGTGTTTGCCTTAATTAGACAAAACAGACAGATAACCTGGGAGTGTAAATGCAGAACACTTGTACACTGGCCCCCAAACCCCACAACCAAACCACCTATATCAAGACATAACATATCTTATTTAATCCCCTAACCTGGACTTGCCTGAAGCACCCTACAGAGACTAGACTGTGCTGGAGTCCTCTTACACTGTCCATAAAGTCCTGTCACTACAGGAACTTGCAACAATGCCAGGTATAATATGCTGAACAAATGACCCAGATACAGATATTGGGGGGCAAACTAAAAGTTGAATTTCAGAAAAGCAAAGCAGTTGGCAACTAGCTCTTACCTCAGTCTCAAGCTGAAAGGACTGATCCACGCACAACCTCTTCACCAAACCTCAAGCTGCTGCCTCTCTTGCTTGCCTGATGAAAGAATTCCTGTCTTCAGTTGATACTGAATACTGAAGACCCTGCTTCTTTCTTATATGCCCCACTATTGCTCGGATTAAAGGTGTGTGATCTGTTATTCTTTTAGACTAATTCAATCTCATTTATCCCTGGGAGGCCTTGAACTCTAAGAAATCGTCTATCACTCAATCCTGAGTCATAGGATTAAAGGTGTGTGCCACCACCTTGTAGCTTCTGCTGCCGGGATTAAAGGTGTGAATCCCCACTGTCTAATCTCTATAGCTTGAGGTTGAATTTGTTTTCTGAATCCTCAGTCAAGATTTAATAAGTCATAAATAATGTATCAGTAAAGCCAGGCAACTGTGCACTGTTCAACAGTCAAATGCACTAGTCAGGTATAATAGCTAACACAGAGAACTCAAAGATAGGCAAGAGCATGGTAAAGAGGGGCTAGCCTGACCTACATAATGAGTTACATTCAGGAAGCATAGCCTTCCTTCCCTACAGCGAAAACCATCCTTCAAAAAGGAAATAAAACAAGTTGTGTTTGATAATGTTTGTCTTTAGCTACACCCAAACAAAGTGGTGCCTAGCCTACATTGCTGAACATCCAGACTGTGTCTGTATTGAGTAAGTGAACCAACACATGAAAGGTGCCTTCAGGATGTGTTAGAACCCTTTGACTGCAAAGAGAATTGTGAATTATGTTTCATCTAGGATGAACAGGCCAATAAATGACATTCCTTTGGTGGGAACAGGCAAAAGCCCCTTGTCTTAAGTGCTGCCATTTTGACTTCAGAATCCATTTTAACTATATTGTGAATAAATGTTCCCATTGCCCATCCTTAGGGAAGCTAGGGACCTACCAATAGCTGGCCTATACCTCCTAGACAAGAAAAACAGTCTCGCCATGCATCGTTATTTCTGTAAGTCATTATTGCTTTTCCTATCAAGAGTAAGAAGAAATGATTCTGATTAGCTCATTCTTTCTGTTGCTTGGAAATGATGGAACACATAGGGACACCTCTGTGATTGCTTGGTTTGATTTGGAACCTTCGGGCCACAACAGGTTGATGCATTGGCTGGGTCCGAATGTCCACCCATGGGGATTCCCAATTTAATATGGTAGCACCAGAGACTATCTGTCATCTGGTCCTGTGGAATAAAGCTAAGTTTTGTGTTGGGATTGCTCCAGTAAACAATTCCCCCTTTTTTATTTTCTAATGAGACACTCCTGTCTTAGGTCAAGTAGGGTCACCTTCCATCTTTGGGGGACCGGGCGACCCCTGTCTTAGGCAGGAGGTCTCTTCCCCACAGGTTGCCCATCATTAGAGAACCTCATCCTTGAAGGGGGAATTGTGGGAACAAGAGACCTTGGCAGGAGGCTCACTTCCCCATCAGCCTGATAGCAAACAGCTGTAACCAGTAGAAGACATGTTTACTAAAAACAATCTGGTGTCCGTAAAAACATGTTTACCAGAGCAATAAGTTCCTAAAGTTTTTGGAAGTTCTCGCCCATGGGAACACCCTGAC